CAAGGCTGTCAATCTTCACGGAAGCAAAGCCCAAACCACACCCACTGCCGTGGAGTCTATTCTGACCCACAGTGCCCCTAGAGGACAGAGTGGAACTGCCCACAGGGTCTCCAAGGCTGTCAATCTTCATAAAAGCAAAGCCCAAACCACACCCACTGCCGTGGAGTCCATTCTGACTCACAGCGCCCCTAGAGGACAGAGTGGAACTGCCCACAGTGTTTCAATCTTTATCGAAGCAGATGGCCAGGTCTTTCTCCCGCAGAGCCACTGATGGGTCTGAACTGCAACCTTTTGGGTTAGCAGCCAGGCACTTTAACCACTGCACCACCAGGGCTCCTTACACGTACCCTCAGGAGGTACACAACGTCTCCCGACCAGGTTAGCGCCCACTTCCTGTTCCCATGTTCCCGTTGTTCGCCGCCCTCTAGTTGTGCCCAGTGGAGTAAAACATCCCCTGGGGGAAGTAGATGGGACAAGGCGGTGGTGGCTGGAAGCTCTGCTAAAACCCGCCCAGCATCACAGACAGCACCACACACGCCACTGACAGACAGTGGTGGCTGTGCGGGATGTCCCTCAGTCGGACTCGAACCCGGGTCTCCCGCGTGGAAGGCGAGGATTCTACCCCTGCCTCGGCGCTGCCGGGCTCCTGTTTGCACAGAAGAGAGGCGCCTCCCTGGGGGCTGGGCCGCCTTCAATCCCGTCTCCTCACCGTCCACCCTCCTAAGGCTGCTCCTCTCACTCGCCTTGAGAGGCTCCATTTTCCTGGGGTGAACCGAGCCGACCCCTCCTGCGCCCCCGCACAAGGCCATCCCACTCCTCAGAGACCGAGTCAAAACTGCTCACCTTCCCCGGGCGCGTCGCTCTCGTCCATGGAGCTACAGACTTTGGTGGAGGCGAGGGAGGTCGAGGATCCGCCATGCTGAGAGCTCTGTCAGGGAACAGAAGCGGAAAGGGAATCAAAACGGAGCGTCAGAGGGTCTCGTCCCGGCCCAGACTCTCGGGGCACAGGCGCCCCTGCAGGCGGGATCCGCTCTCTGCACTCGGAAAGGATGTGTCTGGACTGTCCGTCTGTCCCGCCCACCCCACTGACCCATCAAATAATAGCTGGGGTTACTGTGTCAGGTGACTCCTTGCAGACAGCTGTGGGCACCCCCGACTTTTTACTCCCTTTTTATGCTAAAATCAGCGCCATGAACTCGCTGTGGCGGGTTGACCAGCTCAGCCCTCTCACCTCACCCCTGCCACACTCCAGCCGCCAGGGGGCGTCAGACACAGCAGGATTCGTGTCCCATCCACTTTTTGTTTGTTTTTCCTTCCGTTCTTAAAATAGGAAAACAAAAGTTTCTTCCATCTGTTTTTATGAACTATCCTAAAAAATAAAACTCAGCCTCACTACAGCCTCAGGAGTGAGGTTACAGCTTGGGTTGTTGTTTGCACTTGGCGTCAAGACACAAGGCCTAAAAGCAGGCTTCTGGCGGCGTGTGGAACGTTACCTAACAAGGCTGAGGTCAGGCCAGGAGTGAAAGCCAGGCCTGCTGACGCCCTCCTAATCGTGCTATACTTTGACCCTAGACCCCTGAAAGCCAACAGGGTAACAACGCTATTTTAGAGCTTGGGTGAGGAATCAATGCCAAAGATGTAATGTCGTGAGCAGCTATGGGCAGGGCTTGAACAATGTGCGTTCCCACCTAGTTTCCGTGAGGAAACAACGGCACCCTTGAGTGTTATTGTGAAGCACTTGAACACAGCTTCTCCTACAAGGTGTTCCTTCTATTGCCCTGGGTGTAGCCACTTGGTTGGCCTGACGGGAGCCGGGGACAGTGAGGGGAACAGTCCTGGCTCATGGCGCTGGCTGTCTGTGGAGCAGAAAGGGAAAGAGGATCTGTATTTGAGTCAATAATAAGGGGTGGCGAGAACCAACGGCGACCCGTTTCCTCTGCTTACCTGTCTCCCTCCAACCTCCTCCCCACTGCATCCAGCCTTAATGGAGGTTTTACCTCATTCCATCAGGCCCAACAGTGTCCTGCACAGGAAATCCAGAGATTCCCATTTTCATGAAAAGATTCACGAAGCCGGGGAGGTTCTAGCGAAGTCACTAAGGGGCCATCTGAGTCAACCGCCGTAGGAACTTTTTATGGGAGTGGGTAAGATGAACACATACCATTGGATGGGTTCATCGGGGCTGGCAGCTGGAGGATGAAATGTGAACTCAGGGCAGGAGCATGGCTGCTTCCTCCCAGAACATTCTAGAAGTTCTGTGGTTACTCCAGGGTCCCTCTGAACGCCACACAGTTTGTGTGATGTTCCGATTATGTTTCAGTACCATAAGAAAAGCATCCATGAGCCTGGCTATTGGACTACTGTTCCATCTCCTGTCATCCAGCCTCCTGGAGACCCGCTGGGCACATCTGTGACGCGGTAGGCTGGGAAGGAGGATTGACACTGTGACCTTCCAAACAGGGGCTTCCTTGGTTTGCCCCTAATTTTGTCTTCAGAGTGGATGGCACTGTAGTTTCTGCGAATGAATGAGCTTCTAGGCCAGGTCTGCTGACCTGCGCCAATGTCCGCTCGCGAAAACGTTGGATTCGGAATATTGGGATATAGGCTGGTACCAGGCAGGGCTCTTACTTACATCAATGTCTGGAAAAAGATGAACGTTAACGTGACCACCCGGTAGGGTGGAAGGTGTGTGATTTCCAGCACGGCAGCGTCTTGGATTCCGTGTCCCTACTTTTGTAGTAGACACAATGGTGGAAAAAACAGAAAGGCACTGAAAAAATGTCTGTGCTGTAGACGTGGTCTCCTGGGTTATGTGGTCCTTGAATTCTTTCCAACGGCATCGCCAATGGTAACGCAGGCACAGGTGGTTCGGGATGGCAGTGCTGTCCCGCCATGTGCTGCTTCGTGTTTCAGAACACAAGGACACACCCCTCCACGGAACATCCAGACTGACGGACTGGCAGCGTGTCTTCCTCGCTAAGGTGTTCACAGTTTATGTCCTCAAGTCCAAAAGCTTGTTCTTTTCATAAGAAGGTCACATACTCAGAACAGTACAACCACCCAGAGTCTTTGAAAACATATTGTCAAACAGTAACGTTTTACATACTTGCTGAACATTATTCAGGGCTGTTATGTTATGTTATGTGCCGTCGAGTCAAACCCGACTCATAGTGACCCCTCCTTGGGTTTCCGAGGCAGTATCACTACGGAAGTAGGATTGCCCAACCTTCCTTCCGAGGAGTGGCTGGTGGGTTTGAACCTCCAGCCGTCTGGTTAGCAGGCAAGTGTCTTAGCCACTATGCTACCAGAGCTCCTATTATTCAGGACACTGCCTTGTAAACCAACAAACTGCACTTCCAAAAAGGGCCACCAAGTGTCCGACTCCCTGAGAGCCTGTCACAATGCCAGCTGGGTTTTCTGTGCCTATGCATAAAAACCCGTCAAGCTTTTTAGACTCTGGTTTGAAAAATAAAATACAAAAGGAGAATGAACACAAGTTTGCTTACTTTTAAACTTGATTATTTTCAACTGGAGGTTTGAAATTGCACACTGGCTGAGGGTAACAGATGACTGAAATTTTAGTGGGGAAATCCGGAATCAGTTACAAACGGGGCACTCAGAATATTAAACGTTCTCACTTTACTTCTCAGGCTCAAATGGAGTGAAGCAAGCGTATCCCATCTTGGCAGGCGTTGTCGCGTCTTTTCCTCAGAGAAGGAAGGCAGTAGGGGACACTGTGCGTTCCAAGACACTGACCGTAAAAACCAGTTCCCGTCGAGTCAGCTCCGGCCCCTGGTGCCCTCATGGTCCTGGAGCTGAGCTGCGTTCCACAGCATTCCCAAGGGCTGATTTTTTGCAAGTACATCACCAGGTCTTTATTCTAAGTGCCTGGAGGAGGATGTGAACTGCCAACCTTTCCGTTACCAGCAGTGATCAGCATGGACTCAATGAATTTCTAGGGCTGGATTGACTTCAATACTGCCTACTCCACCACCCTCCCATCCAGAGCTCAAATTTTCTGCTAAGAAAAAAACCCCAGCTAGGTGGTGCGATGGCCGTGCGAATGTCTCCAGCAGTCAACGGTCACTTCCTTAGAGAGCCCTTGAGCCTAGGAGGTACTGCCCTAACTTACACTGACATGAGCTCTTGCTACATTTTCCTCTGTGGTTCCTAGCTCTCACCTCTGGAGCCAGCTAGGATGGGTCCAACCCGTTTGCCACACGCTGGGCTTCAGATCTAGACGTACCTCAGAGATATTGTGGGTCTGGCCCCAGACCCTGCAGTGAATCGAATACCCCAGTGGAGCTGTTTGCATGCATTTGCTGGTTTTCCAGGGCCTAGCAAAGTTCTCTTTACACCATAGCGTGGTTCACTGAGCGTGCAACAGCGTGCTGGAGGTGAGGACGGTGACACTTCATCTCCTGCACTTTGGACCTGCTTCCAGGACGGGCCTGGAGAAGGACACCATGCTCGGTAAAGCCCCGTATTCCGAGCTCAGGAAGCTGAGTTCAAATGCACTCTTCCTACACGCCACCCTTACTGCCGTCCTTCCAGCCCGTTCCTTTCTGAAGGTTCTGATATTGTCACCTGAACTCGCTCTCTCTGTCTTTCACATCAACCACTTATCAGTCAGTTTCCATTGTTGTTGTTATGTGGCGTCCAGTCGGACTCGACTCCTAGCGAC